CAGGCCCAGGCCCCGGGCGGCGGCCGCAGGGCGCGCGGCAGAGCTGGCGGAAGCAGCGCTTGAAATTCTCGTCGAGGAAGGCGTAGAGCACAGGGTTGAGGCTGCTGTTGGCGTAGCCCAGCGCGATGCACAGGTGCAGCGCGGCCACCACGAGCGGGTCCCGCCGATCGATGTCCACCAGCGTCCAGACGATGACGAAGATGTGGATGGGCGCCCAGCACACCACGAAAGCGCCCACCACCACCAGCACCATGCGTGTGATGCGCCGCAGGCTGCGGTCCTTCTCCTTGGAGCCCGACAGCAGGCGCACGCTGCGCAGGCGCAGCAGCATCAGGCCGTAGCACACGGTGATGATGAGGATGGGCACGACGAAGGCGAAGAGGAACACACAGATCTTGGTCACCGTGTCCCAGTACCAGCTGGGGCTGGGGAACTGGAGCATGCATACCACTACCCCATCTGGGGTCCGGGGAGACAGGAAAGACAAAAGAGGCTGGTCAGGGGCCTGTGCATTTAAGGGGCTAGGCGTGTTTGTTCCCACATTTCTCGGTGTGTGTGTATGTGTGCCTGCCTGTCCTGGGGCTTGAATTCAGGGCCTCTTGCCCTCACTTTTTTTGCTGCTCAAGTCTGGTACTCTACCACTAGCGCCACACCTCCACTGATGGCTTTTTGTGCTGGTTAATTGGAGATAAGAGTCTCACTGACTTTTCTACCCAGGATGGCTTCAAACACTGATCCTCAGGTCTCAGCCTCCTGGGCAGCAGGGATAAGAGACATGAGCCACCACAGCTCAAGAACAACTTCCTGACCATAGGCCAAGAGGGAGTCTGAGGCAGGCCTGGGGCTGGCCCAGGGGGCTCCTGTATGTCTCTTGGAGACATACAGACATCATGGAGCCTGACAGTTGTGGAAAAAGAGATAGAAGGGGGAAGGAAAATCCACAGACACAGTGGATCCAGGACATCAGCCTGGAGGGACTCCCACATCCCAGGAAATACTAAGACCTTCATTGTATAAATGGCAGAACCAAGGTCAAAGCAGAAGTAGCATATGGACCAACAAGGGCCAAGAGAGGAGGTGTGTATGTGTGTGTGTGTGGAGAGAGAGAGAGAGAGAGAGAGAGAGGAGTGAGAAGGACCATCTGGCCCAGCCCCCAGCAGGGGGCTTGTAAACTGCAGGCTGACAGTGAGGAATGAGGCCCTGCTGCCCAGTTAAGGCCAATCGCTTAGAGGTTGTATAAGGGCTCTCAGAGGCTCTGTCCCTCTGTGGGTCAAGGAGACCAAAAAGCCCCACCCCCCCCTCATGCTGTTCCCTTCCCCTCCCCTCAGCTTTGAGCTTCTGCAAACCTCTACCCAAGGACCAAAAGAAGCAACAGATTGCCCAGTGGGTAAGCATACCCATAATCCCAGCTCCTTAGGATTTGGGAGATCAGGAAGATCACAGTGTAAGATCAGCTGGGGCAAAAAATTGTTAAAGAGGGCTGGGAAGTTGGCTCAATGGTAGAGTGCTTGCCTTGCATGCAGGAGGCCCTGGGTTCAATTTCTCAGTACCACATAAGCAGAAAAAGCCAGAAGTGGTGCTGTGGCTCAAATGGTAGAGCACTTTCCTTGAACTGAAGAGCTTAGGGACAGTACTCATGCCTAGAGTTCAAGTCCTAAAACCAACAACAACAAAAAAAGAAATAGGGCCGGGCACTGGTGGCTCACGCCTGTAATCCTAGCTACTAAAGAGGCTGAGATCTGAGGATCATGGTTCAAAGCCAGCCAGGCAGGAAAGACCGTGAGACTCCTATCTCCAATAAACCACCAGAAAACCGGAAGTGGCGCTGTAGCTCAAGTGGTAGAG